TTCCCGTTGGTCCCCCCGCCCCTCCGCCGCGGGGCCGGGGAAGGTGGCGAACCGAAAGTCCCTTCCTGCAGGGTGCACCCGGACGCTTACCACACGAAGTAAACCCGACAGCACAGCCACTTCGTCTTCCTCCTGCGAGGTTCTCTCGGCGGGCTGTTGGCTCATTGTGCATTCATTCCTCTGACGGCCAGGGGGCTTGGGGAGTGCTGCATGCTGGGTCATGGTCCCTGTGTCTGGCTGGGGGGAAGTGCCTCTGTGACGTGGGGGACCCCAGAGGTCCTAGGGGAGTCGTGGAAGGCTTCTCGCAGCAGAGACCTGGGCTTCACCTGGCCTAGAAAACCGAGGCGTGGATGGGCGAGGTGGGGAGGGGCCTTCCTGGCAGAAGTGGGGGTCTTGGTGTGCGAGGCTCCATGGTTAACTTGGGGGACAACCAGAAGTGCGGAGAAGACAGCAGGACACCAAGCTCCCGGCTCTCCGGTCCGCACCGGCACTGTGTCTGCTCCTCAGTCTCTCTCCTTCATCTCTGCTGAGGACAAACAGGAACTCCCCACTTCCCACCAGGGCTGGTGGGCTGGGGATCCCCTAGAACTCAGGGTCCCCACATCTCGGGCTCACCAGCCATCTCCCTCTGGGGCTGCCTGGTCCAGTGGTTCAGACCGTGCACTGCACAAAGTTGTCTTTCTAAGGGGGTTCCTTTGCATGGAAGCTATGTCATTTGTTTACTTTCTCCATGTCCTGATGGCAACCTTGTGGCCTCCAAGGATGGGTCATTGGTGTGACTTTTATGAAAAACACCTAAGTGGTGGCTGTGGGGTGTCTTAGTCTTACAAAGCTGGGGCCATCAACAGTGGGACAGAGGGAGGAGCGATACCCAGCCGCCAGCCTCAGGAACCCGCCTCCCTCTCTTCGCAGTTCTTTCTGTTCATCCTCATCATCTTCCTGGCGGAGCTCTCAGCAGCCATCCTGGCCTTCATCTTCAGGGAAAATGTAGGTACCAGGTCCCGGGCCCCAGGCCCTGCTCTCTGCTGCCACCCCGTGGCCTTTCTGAGAAACCCCGCCCCTCCTACAGCATCTCAGGGCTGGCAGCCTCCCTCACGCAGCGCTTCCAGCCCAAATCCTGACCCACAGCGCAGCCAGCAAGATCCCCAGGGAGCCCCTTTCTGCAAGGGCTATTCCAGAAGGTTCCAGAGACAGGAGGCCCTTGCGGTCTGCCCTGCGTCTGAGAGTGCAGCCCCACACCTTGCCCAGAGGGAGCTGTGCCCAAACCCTAGGACGCGTGCAGGTGCCCCATCCCGCAGCCCCCCATCCCCATGCCAGAGGCCCCAACCCCTCCGAGTTAACTCCCTCCCCGGAGTGGACAGGAGCCCAGCCCCACAGTCAAAGCCTGGAGCAGAACAGGGGACAGAGGGGCAGAGGAGCAGCAGGCACAGCTGGCCTTGGGGCAGAGGGGCACGGCGGCGGCTGTGGGCAGAGAAGGGTGCCCCGGGCAGCGGGACAAAGGGTGGCCAGACCTTGGGAGAATGCTTTGAGAGAGGCAGCGTCTTACCAAGACGTCTGGGAACCATGGCTGTACAAAGGCCAGGCTGGGACTGGGTGGAAGCGCCTGCCTGGCTGTGTCCGAGGAACAAGTCAGGATGGAAGGGACCAGGTGGGGGCAAGCCCCCCACCCTGGAGAAGCCCCCACACCCTCCCGCTGAGAAGAGCTGCAGGGTACAGAGAGGATACCAGGGAGCCCTGGCCTCGGATCTCCCCAAGGGGGCGCTCCCCCTCCCCAGCCCCAGCAGACAGATGACTGGCACACAGGCTGGGGCTGCACCAAGCTGCCGCATCTCAGCCGCCTGCCCTCTGCCACCAGCTCACCCGGGAGTTCTTCACCAAGGAGCTCACCAAGCACTACCAGGGCAACAATGACACGGACGTCTTCTCCGCCACCTGGAACTCGGTCATGATCACGGTGAGTGACCGCTCAGAGCTGCAATGCCTGTGGCAGCACACTCCAGCCACCTGCTCCTCTCTGTTCCCCGGCCCGGGCCAGACATCAACAATCGATCAGAGTACTCCTCCACCCAGCTCAGGCCTGGCCTTAGAAATCAGTACTCACACGGCCTCCCAGGCAGCCCGGCGGGTGGACTGCAATTTGAACTTGGGGTGCATCCTGTTTGGTTGCCCTCACTAGGGTTTTCAAGTGATGGTAACCTAGCAACCGTTCACTGAGCAGGTACTAAGTGCCCCCACCACCTCTGCTTCAGAGAAGCTGAGTGACTTCCCCAGGGTCACACAGGAAGGGCAGGTGGAGCCAGCTCCCACCAGTGGTCTTCCGACCCCACTCCTTTGGAGGGGCTGGTCGTGCCCCACCCCTACACCTGCGCCTTCTCTCTGCTCTCCTCCTAGTTTGGTTGCTGTGGGGTCAACGGCCCTGAGGACTTCAAGGTTGCATCTGTTTTTCGACTCCTGGCCCTGGACAGTGAAGAGGTGCCAGAGGCCTGCTGCCGGAGAGAGCCCCAGGCGCGGGCCGGGGTCCTGCTGAGCAGGGAGGAGTGCCTTCTGGGAAGGAGCCCATTTCTCAACAAGCAGGTGCCAGGCCGTGGCCGGGGTGGCCAGGGCTGGGGCGGGGAGGGGCACCCCTGCACTCCCGTGGAGGTGTCGTGGGGATCTGGGGCTCCTGCACCTTGGTGGGAGCAGACAGAGGCTCCGTCCTTGCCGAGACCCAACTCCAGAGGAGAAGGCGGGGTGGCAGGTGGCCCAGGGCTGCAGGGGGCACTGGGCAGGGTTATGGTTCGGTGAGATTCTGCAGCACAGGTTGAGGGGAGCCCCCGACGTACCCAGTGGGGGCCCCTCCTCAGCCATGCACTGCGTTTTGAAGGAGCTCACATATGCATCCCACTCATGCCAAGGGACAAGGTCTCTCTGACCTGAGCCTCCAAGGTCGCGGATGCTTCCAGACTCCCTGCCTCTCATACCCCAAGGACTTCTCCTCCTTGGAGAGACCCCCCCACTTCCTGCGTGTGTGGCCTCTGGGAAACAGGCCCCGACAGTGTCCCCTGTGCGCCTGCGCGAGATGCAGAGAGCCCTTGTACTTGCGCCTCTTCACTGACCAGTCCTCCCACCCACACCCTCCACCCCGGCCGAACCTACAGCTGTAGGAGGGGTACAGGGGAGACCAGGCTGGGTGGAAGGGGAGGGAGGAAGGGATGGGTGGACTGAGTTGTGCCCCGGGCCCTTCACTTGGTCAGGCTCTCCAGGGGGAGGCCAGCAGGGGCGGGGCCGGCCCTGGTCCTGAGGGGCAGGCCGGGCCTCACCCAGGCTCGAGGAGAGGCCGCAGTAGGCCTTCATTATTGCCTGCAGTGCCGCCTTGGCCCAGGCACCCGCCCTGAACCTGATTGCCCGTGCTGCAGCAGAGACAGTGCCTGGCCTGCGGACCCCACTCACACCCTTGGCCTTGGGAAGAGGCTGTGGGTCACTCCCTACAACCACCAGGCACGGGCTGCCCCTCCCTGGCTCCCTTGCAGCCGTGTCTGTCCCCAACTTCTTACCAATTGGGAGAGAGAGATGATTCCTACACCTTGAGTGACGCCCCGAGGAGGACCTGCTGTGCCAGCACCTCCCCTCCCCCACCCCGCCCAGGCTGTGGTTTAGTGACAGAGCCCTGGGAGCATCCAGAGAGAGGGAGCCAGGGCCACGGGCAGCTCTGTGGGAGCAGAGCAGAGCGGCCGCCAGGGGTCAGGATCTGATGCAAACCACAAAGGAGTTGCCGCCGGCTGTTAGGGGTGCTTGCGACCTGGAAACTTCTGGGGCCACCTGCATGGTGCCCGGGGCTGTGCCACACTTGACGGGCTGTTTCTGCATTCACCCTCGGGGAGGATGACCCTGCAGCCGCCCTCCACGTGGGACTGTCTCTGTTCCCTGCAGCCCAGCTGGCAGCCTGCAGAGAGAATGCTGGGAGAGCTGGGTCCTCGTGGGGGATGGGGGCTCTGGGGTTTCTGTCCTGGGAGGCTGGCGAGCCTGGCTTGGGGCGTGTGCGTCGAGAGTGGGCGAGCGTGCAGTGCCTTTGCAGCACCCGAGCCGAGGTGCCCCATGGGTCAGTGGGGGTGGAGCTATGAGAGCTGCTTAGTGTTGAGTTGCAGTGGGCGCCCCGTCAGAGGGGTGGGCTGGGGTGGAGGGTGGAGGGGCGGTCCCTCCCTGCTCAGTCCACAGCGGCAGGCCCAGGGAGGGACGGTCCCCCCAACGCGCCTCCCTGGGTGGCGCAGGGCTGGACCTTGCGGGGTCATGGGGCGAGGCGATATCCAGGAGTGGGCTCTGAGCCCAGGGCCTGCCCCCCCCCCATGCTGGGGGCAGAACCCGGCCTTGCCGATGCCCGGCTCCCTTCCCTACCTAGCAGCACAGCTGGGGGTGCAGCTCAGTGCAAACCCCGGCTCCCCTTGCTCCAGCCAGTGCTGGGGCCGCAGCTCCCTCTCTCCCTCCCTTCCCATGGCTAAAAGGCAGGTGGACCCCTCCGCCACCGGGGGCTGCAGTGCAGGTTAAGAGAGAGCCAAGAGCATCTGAGGCCCCAACCCGGCACCCTCCAGAGGGACGCTCACTGAGGGCAGCATCAGCTGGGCTGTCCATTCCTCCCCACCCCCACCCCCACCCCCCCACCGTGTCTCAGTACCCTGGAAGCCTCCGCTCACCCTCCTGGTGGGCTTGCATCCGTCTAGGGGCCTGGGGGGTTTGTTGGTGCTACAGTCTGCCAAGAGAATGTAGCAGGGAAGTCCCAGGTGCCAGGCAACAGGTGCAGGCTCGGAGGTGCCGGCCGCACCTGCCGGTCCTCCAGGTAAGCCGTGTCCAGCTCAGCTGTGTGCTTAGGAAGGAGCCTGCCGCTTCTCAGGCCGAGAGAGAGAGAGAGAGAGAGAGAGAGAGAGAGAGAGAGAGAGAGAGAGAAAGTACCGGGCAGTGACACCCACCTGTGTACTCAGACACCCGCCCCCCACTCAGGATCTGCACACCAAGGAGCACAGAGCAGCTGATGGCCCCTCGCAAGCCTGGAGCGTGAGCTGGAGGAGAGGGAGAGGGGTGGGTCCCCGCCGGCAGGGGGCACACAGGGGCTGTGGGGGGAGGGGCAGGAGGCCAGAAGGACCCCTCCCTCCCAGGACGGAGCCCAGGATCTCCCTTTCCTCCCCCACGGAGCAGCTCTGCTATTCTGCTCTGGGCCTGGGTGTCTTAGTCCTTACTGGTCGGCACCCTTGGCCTCACAGAGACCAGACCCCCTAAGTAAGGGACCTGCGCGAGAGCAGGATTGATTTCTTCAAGAGGGAGAGTGAGCACACGTTCACGCGTGAGCGTGGGCCACCCCACACGGAGAAATGTATCATGAGCGGACCTCAGAGCCCCTCTGAGGAGGGAGCTGGAGACAGGAGGCCCGAGCAGGATCCCTCATGCTCTCGCCTTTTTCCTGAGGATGGGGTGAGGCCTGGGTACAGCTCAGTCAGTGTGCAGGAGTTTCATGGGATTTCCATGGCCTCCAGGTGGAGTTCAAGCTCCACATGGCCATCATGGCCCCAGACGAGACACAGGTGCATCCTGGGAAGGTGGCGGGTCAGACAGGTGGGGAAATCGAGTCACAGTGCAGAAATTCCAGCTCCACGCCCTCTAACTCCCTGCTCGGTCCAGATCCTCGTATTACTTTACAAAGCCATCGACACAGAGGTTTGAGGTCAGGGGCAACATGGGTCTACAGGCAGACGGGCGCCCCTCCCAGCCGCAGTGGGCTCCTAGGGCGCCTGGGCCTCCCAGGGCTCTGCTCCATCACAGCCTTTGGCTGGGCCCCCAGCGATGGCGCAGGCGAAATCAGACCTGAAGGTGAAGCTGTGACGTTCTGCCCTGGTTGCTATCTGCAGGCCTTCAAAATTTCCTGGGGGACCTGCCTACAATTCTGATCCCCAGTCCAGTGAAATGGGGGTCTGGAAAGAAACCCCTCCCCGTCGCCTTTAACTGTACACTTCACTCTAAGCAGCTGCCATGCCACAGTGCCGGCTCAGCATGGCTTGCGCAGGGGGTGGACAGGAAGATGCCAGTATGAGGGACTGGGGCCCTGTGGGGCCGTGGTCGGGGTGGGGGCAGCTCCTCTCCCCCCCTCCACTCTCTGTCTCCTGTTTCTGAGTCCCAGGATGCTTTGGGAGAGCAAAAGAGCATGGGAAAGAAATCCAGTCAAAGGGCCCAGTGGGTCCGCCTGATCCTGGAGGGCTGCCCGAAGGAGGTGGGATGGAAGCCAAGTTTTGAAGATGGGCTGTGCTGCCTCAGGGCAGAAACTGAAAGCCGGAAATCCTTGCGTAGCCTGGCAGGTGGTGAGGAGGGGGAGAGACGCTGGGTGTGGGACAGTAGGGCCCCCTGGGGAGCACTTGTCCCATCCACAGGGAGCAGCTCCTGGGGAGGCTGACAGAGGCCGGAGGGCTCACGGGGCTGGACCCTGTGCTTTAAAAAAAAAAATTCTTTATTTGAAAGGCAGAGAGAGGTCTTCCATCCACTGGTTCCCTCCCCAAATGCTCACGGCAGCCAGGGCTGGGTCGGACCAGAGCCGGGAGCCTGGAACTCCATCCAGGTCTCCCTGATGTGTGGGGCAGGGACCCACGTAGCTGAGCCCTCACCTGTGCCTTCTGGGGGTGCACTAGCACTGCCACTGCATCGGAAGTGGAGGTGGGACTCGAAGCCAGGCACTCCCCTGTGGGATGCAGGCCTTGCAAGGGGCAGGTTCACCTGCTGCTGCATTGTGTGTGTGTCTGTGTGTGTGTGTCTGTGTGTATGTGTGTCTGTGTGTGTGTGTGTGTGTTTCAGAGCAGTGGGCCGTCCACATGTTTGTGGGAAATTTTCCAATATTCGGGTCGCTGTCATAATGACATCACATGGGTCTGTGGCGGACTGGTCTGAAGCTGGTGGATTTTGGCCCTGCCCTAGGGGCAGGTGGCTAAGTGGGTCTCTGGCCTTCAGTTGCCCGATGGCAGGGGTCTGTGGGCCTCCCACCTCCCCTGTGCTGGCCTAAGGGGGGCTTGGCAGGCAGACCTGGTGCCACCTGAGCTGTGGGCCCACTCACCATGGACCCCAAGCCCCTAGTGCTGACGCTGGCATCCAAGGCCTCCCCGGCCCCCTGGCTGCTGCTTCACCCGTGGCCCTTCCCTCCCAGGGCTGTTACACGGTCATCCTCAATGCCTTCGAGACCTACGTCTACCTAGCCGGAGCCCTAGCCATCGGGGTGCTGGCCATCGAGGTAGGTGGTGGACCCCACTTCTGCTGCGCCCCTGGGGGAGGGAGCTACACATGGAGTCTGGGGCAGATCCCCCTCTCCCTGGGGGCCTGCACCCCCAGCCTCCCTATCTCCCAGGCTCTGGGCACTGTGGGTGGTAAGCCGGGCTTTGTCTGTCTGCAGCCTGAGAGCCACCCTTGGACCGCAAGCAGGACACATGGGAGGCCCTGAGAGTCACTTCCACCTCCTCCCCATCCCCTCCCCTCCCCCAGCTCCAAGTTCAGGGTGTGCCCTTGCAGTGGGCTCACCAGGGTGGTGGCTGCAGCCTGTGGCCCCAGGTAGCCCCCTGCTCTGTAGGATGCTCAGGGCCTGGGAGAGGGCAGGGCAGCCTTCCTCACCTCCCAAGGGACACCTTAGCCCCTTTCCTGGGGGCATCCCAGAGCCACTTCCAAAGCTGAGCTGCTGCGGGCTTCGTAGACACCACTAGGTGGCGCTTCAGCCACGGGGAGGCCTCTCTGGGCTCTCAGGCGGCAGGCTCCAGCATCGCCGAGCCACGCCCAGCCCCAGCAAGGAGCTCTCTGGGGGCCCAGCAGGTCCCCAGCCCGCAGAGAAAGGAAGGTAGCCTGATCCTCAGACCCACGTCCCATGGAGCACCTGGCAACATCAGGGCCACCTTGCTCGGTTAAACCGTGCGGTTCTGTGGAAGAGATGGGGGCGCACGCATTCATTATCCATTCATCTGTTCCAAAAACACCTATGGAGCCCCTACTGTGTGCCCGCACCTCTGTAGCTGGATGGGTCCCCTCGGGCAGAGCAACCACAGACAAGAAACAGGAGACTGCACACCTGGGCCCCGGAGATCGCAGGATCTGTCCTGGGCGGGAAGAGCCCGGGCTCTGTGTCCCGCTCGCTCCAGCTCTGCCTCTCCCCAGACCCAGGTCCTCTGAGCCTCGGCCTGCTCATCCGTAGAATGGCATCAATCAGCAGGCTCCTAGCACCAAGTCCTGCTGGGAGGCAGAATCCTACACCAGGACCCTGGCCCAGCCTCATCACCCCCTGCCCCATGGGGCCTCTCCACCATTGTGCCATAAGCCTGTGGTCTGGGGGCTCGTTCCCTGTGCTGCTGGCTAAGGAGCCCCTGGCCAGAGGGGACAGCAATCAATCTCTAGAGGGGAGTTCCTGAGTGAGGGTCTCTGCCGCCCTCCCCCACCCGCTCCAGGGCCCTGGATGGGTGCTCAGTGATGGAGCTCGAGCCTGGGGAGTTGCCCATGAGTCACCTTTAATTAAGCGTGTGCCAGGTGTCATCGCATCATTAGAGACCCGCCCTG